TTCTTTAGACAACAATTTTTCACGAATAAAATGACAATCAAGTTCTATATATTTGGTCCTTTCATGGAACACCGGATTAGAGGCAATGTGGAGAGCTGCTTGATTGTCACAATACATTTTCATCTGTTGGATCTCACAAAATTTCAGTTCTTGAAGGAATTGTTTCACCCACACTAGTTCACAAGTGAGAGATGTCATTGCTCTATATTCAGCTTCAGCACTAGACCGGGTCACTACATTTTGTTTCTTACTTTTCCAAGAAATAATATTGCCTCCAATGAGAACACAATATCCTATAGTGGAGCGTCTGTCCATAGGGGATCCAGCCCAATCAGCATCACAATACCCAGATATTTGGGTACCACCTTTATCTTCATACAACAGACCTTGTCCTGGAGCTTTTTTGAGATATTTTAGGATGTGAACGACAGCATTCCAATGATCAGTACGTGGATTTTGCATAAATTGACTCACAACTCCAACGGCAAAAGATAGGTCAAGTCTGGTAATGGTGAGATAAATGAGTTTCCCAACAAGTCTTCTATATCTCTCAGGATCAGAGAGCGGTTCACCTTGATCCGCCATTAATTTCTGATTTGGATCCATAGGGTTGTTTACTGGTCTACAATCAATCATACCTGTTTCTTTCAGGATATCTAAAGCATACTTTCTTTGGGAGACTACGATGCCTTCTTTTGATTGAGCCACTTCAATCCCTAGAAAGTATTTGAGACAACCAAGATCCTTAGTTTGGAAGTGATTGCATAAATGTTTCTTTAGCAAAGAAATTTTATCAACATCATCCCCTGTAATGACTATATCATCTACATATACAATTAAATAAACACATTTTCCTGAAGCAATATAATAAAAAACAGAATGATCTGCTTCACTTCGTTTTAATCCAAAACTTTGAACAATGTGACTAAACTGTCCAAACCAAGCACGTGGAGATTGTTTGAGACCATAGAGAGAACGATGTAACTTACAAACCAAACTAGACTCCCCCTGAGCAACAAAACCAGGAGGTTGCTCCATATAAATTTCCTCCTCAAGATCACCATGCAAGAATAGCTGCCATAGCAAAGAAAAGTCGAACAGTAGTCATTTTGGCCACAGGAGAAAAAGTATCACTGTAGTCAAGGCCATAGATCTGATTATAGCCTTTTGCTACTAATCTAGCTTTGAGTCGATCAACTTCACCTTTTGGTCCAACTTTAATGGCATAGACCCAACGACAACCAACAATCTTCTTCCCATGTGGAAGAGGAATTAAGTTTCATGTACCATTGTGCTCAAGAGCCTGCATTTCATCAATCATGGCTTGTCGCCATCCAGGATGATCAAGTGCCTCTTTCACATTTTTTGGAATAGTAATAGTGGATACAGAAGAAACAAAAGAAAAATAGGAAGGAGACAATCTATGGTAGCTAAGAAAATTGTAAATGGGATGTGGATTACAAAAAGAGCGAGTACCTTTGCGAATGGCAATGGGCCAACTTGAGTCATCATTATCAGGAATCGTGGTATCAGGGGATGATTGAGAAGGATCTGCTGAGGAAGACTCATCTTGGGACATGGGACCAATCATTTGGCTCCTGTGTTGATAGGTAATAAGAGGCAGTGATGAGGATTCCGGTGTATTTTGTGTGGAATTTTGGGTGTCAGGAGGAGAAGGTACAAATGGCTCCACTAAGGGTATAGGTAGGACATTTTGGACCGAACTAATATCTTGCATAGAAGAAGGGAAGAAGGGAGTTGACTCAAAAAAAATGACATTAGCAGACATGTAGTACCTCTTGGTTTCAGGAGAATAACATCGATATCCTTTTTGAAGACGAGAATATCCCAAGAAGACACATTTGATGGCTCTAGCTGATAGTTTATCTAATCCTAGAGACATATCATGAACAAAACATACGCAACCAAATACACGAGGAGAAACATGAAAGAGTGGGTCCTTTGGCAATAGAATAGAGTGTGGAACTTTATTGTTAAGAGAAGATGGCATTCTGTTAATGAGAAAACATGCAGTAAAAATAGCATCTCCCCAATGATGAATGGGCATATTTCCACCTAGTAATAAGGTACGGGCAGTTTCAACCAAATGTCTATTTTTTCGTTCTGCTATACCATTTTGTTGTGGTGTGTGAGGACAAGTAGATTGGTGTAAAATGCCTTGGGAGCTTAAGAGAGTAGAGAAATCAGTAGAAAAGTATTCTTTGGCATTATCACTTCGTAAAACTTTGATTACTTTTCCAAATTGATTTTTGATTTCGTTAAGGAAAGACTTAAAGATAGGTAATAATTCAGAACGGTCTTTCATTAGATAAATCCAAGTACACCTAGAAAACTCATCAATGAAGGTAACAAAATATCTATAGCCAAAGGATGAGACACGACTAGGACCCCAAATATCAGAATGAACAAGAGAAAAGACAGAGTCACATCTAGATTCAGAACGTTTAGGAAAAGAGGACCTAGTATGTTTCCCTAGTTGACATGATTCACATTCAAAATCTTGAAGAGTCTGAAGTTCAGGAACCATTTTTTTTAATCGTGATAAGTGAGGGTGCCCTAACCGTTCGTGTAATAGTTTTGGAGACAAGGATGCAACACAAGATACGGATGATTTAGTCCCAAGGTAGTATAAGCCTCCAGATTCATGTCCTTCGCCAATCTGTCGACCCGTACCACGTTCCTGTATAACAAAAGAGTTGGCATTAAAGGTTACCTGAACAATTCAATAATTTGGTTAATTGACTTAGGGAAATGAGACTCGAAGGGACATGAAGGAACAAAAAGAACAGATTTTAAGTTTAAAGACTGAGAAATGGAGACTTGACCAGTTCCTTTAGAGGCTACTTTAGATCTGTTGGCTAAGGTTATGAGATGAGGAGTTTTAGGAAATGAGAGAGAAAAGAACAAAGAGGTATTACCAGACATGTGATCAGAAGCACCTGAGTCAATAATCCATGGATTTTGACTTTCCACATATTGTGAAATGCAAGTTGTTGATGAATTTGGGGTTGTTGATGACTGTGCTAGATTACTGGATTTCAACCTCAAATATTCCTGATATTCTACGTGAGAGAACTTGGGTTCAACCATTTCAGATTTTGAAAAATTGACAGTTTTATTAGGAAAACCGTGCAAAGAGTAGCAATTTTACACTGTATGACCCATTCTCTTGCAATGAGTGCACTGAGGACGTCCTCTACCTCCACGTCCTCCTCTAGTGCCGCGACTTCCTCTTCCATGGGTAGAAATCATAGCAAAAGATTCAACAAGTTCTTGATTATTTTTTTTCTTTGAGAGTTGGAACACGAAGCAGTCTTGTAGTCAAACTTTCCATAGAAGGAACTTCTTGTCCAGTTAAAATTTGATCTCTAACATGATCAAATTCTGAATTCATAGCTCGAAGAGTCATAACCATATAGAATTTATCCAACTTTTGCTTTATCTCCTCTAACGAATCCACCTCTAGGAACATCTTTAATTCTTCAACTGCTGATTAAGCTTCAACAATAAAGGTCATCATATCTTTATCCACTTGCTTGAGAGAGGCTAATCGATTAGCGGAATCATAGAGGCGTTGGATATCATTTACGAAGATATTCTGAGCTTTTTTTCCAGAAAGAGTTACATGTTTTGAAGGATCTGAGAGTGTTCAAAATATTTGGTTCTACTGATTGCCACAGTAGAGCACAGAGTTGATAATCAAGTTTTTTCCATTGTTGAGCCTGATCATCTGGTATCTTACTTCCGTCTTCTTCTAGATGATCGTGAAACCCTTGTCCAAGGAACCAAAGTTCCACTGAAGAGGACCAAGACATGTAATTTTTTCCATTTAATTTTTCAGCCGTTATCGTGGGAGTTCCGAAAAAGGAGGTTGTGGGCCCTGACGACATGTTTTAAATAATGTAGATGTAAGATGGAGACAATGAAACCTGTAAGAAAGAGAGCACTCAAGATAGCCGGAAGGTTACTGGAAGGTGGTCGGAAAGTCGTCGAACGGCAGCAAAAAAAAAAAAAGGTGACTGGATGGGGGACTGACGGTTGCCGAAAAGTGACCGGAAAGTGGTCGGATGGTGGCGGGAAAGTGGCCGGACGGTGATCGGAAAATGACCGGACGGTGATCGGAAAATGATCGGACAGTGACCGGAAAATGGTCGGACGATGACCAGAAAATGGTCGGACAGTGACCGGAAAATGGCCGGACGGTGACCGAAAATGGTTGAACGGTGGCCGGATGGTGGCCGGACGGTGGCCGGACAGGCAGAGCAGGACCAACCTGCTCTGATACCAAGTTAAGAGAGTAAAGAGAATGAAAAGAAGATTTCTAATTTTGTGGGATGCTTACTCCACTCTATGATCTCATATATATATAGGATTACAACATTTAATACAACAACTACCAACTACTAACAACCACTAACCACTAACCACTAACTAATAATAATTCTAACAAGATCAAATATAGTTTAAACACAATAATCACATAACCTTGACACTAAAAAAATGACAAAAGAGTTTAAGAGACTTAGTATCTCTTAGCTAATCCATTTATTTATAGGAGAAGGGTGCATCAACATTACAGAGAGTGTAGAAGGAAAAGGCTATTCCTAGGTGTAGAAGCTAATAAATAAAACAGCTTTTTACAGAAGTTAAGTTAACCTATTTGACCAAGTTAACCGATAAAATAAACTATTCTAAAACAGATAAAGCATTTCTAAATAAAACTTATGCATTAATATTAATTTCAAATGGGGAATTAGTGTTCATGAGTTCAAATTATGTAATAAAGTTCCATAGAAAAAAACATAAGAAAACTAAAACAATATTTGCTTAATTAATCTGTCCATTTCACAGCTTCCAAGTCTCTCTGTTCAGGTGCAGTTATTTTAAATTTTGGATTTATGTTTCATTGGCATAAGTGAAGTACTAATGCTGTAGGTTTCAAACTGAAAACAAAGTAAAAATCAACCAAGCAAGTGGAATCAAGAAAATTCAACCTTTTTCTGGTGCGTATCATGCATGTTTAATTGTTTCACCCTTTTTTCAAGAACTTCAATGCACTTATGTGACAAACCATTTGCATGGGCAATAGCTTGCAAATATTGGAGGCCCCTTTCCCTCAACCCTGGAAGTAATGACATTACATTTGCTTCTGAAAGCTTTGCCACAAGAAGAGGTAAAAAGACACTATCATCTACACTCAAGCATAACAAGCTATCTCTTCTCTGCAACTGTAAACATTATCACTTATGGTAAACTAAAACTTTAATTATGAAGTAGGAGCTAAAAGATATATTAGTTTAAAATTTGTTCCTTATACAAACTAAAGCTCACATCATATGGCCGGAGAAGGAAGGAATAGCTTACAATGCTTTGTACTGCTTTCAACATTGAAAGCCTCCATTCTTTGTCTCCATAAATTGCAGCTCTTTCTGGTGGTAGTACAAGCTGCAGATCTCCAGTCATGCACCTATGGCTCAATATCTCAGTAGTTGGTACAACTAGGGTATCAAAACTATATGAGAAGCAAGTTTCGGTATGAGTAGCAAGTAAATGAATTTCTTCCCCTTTGAATATGGAAACACCACTGCCTGGAACAAACCAAACACACTGTTTCCAGTGGTCACACCAACCAACAGGACCTAGGGTAGAACCAATGCAACATCATTAACAAAGGCTCTAAAATATTAACAATAACAAATATAAATATTCATAAGATAATGTATGATTAATTAAATATAATTCATATTTCATATAACTTTCAAACAATATGAAACAATGTATGACAATAGTGGAATGAGTAACATTGAAGTCAAAGCATCCTAACTAACCAATTAAATCATGAAAAACTCACTTGTAATTGTCGGTGAGCTTATCCACCTAGGAGCAGTGGAATAATAGATGGTACCTTCCTGATCAAGTTGAAGTACCCACCTGAATCACTCAGGACTGTGAAAGATAATAAAATACACGTATAATACAATTATTAAAAAAACACAGGATTACCAAGAGACCACAGCATGAACTCTTCCATCATTAGTTGCCTTTACACTCAACTCAGTTTCTCGATAACTCTCTGGCCGTTTCCAAAAATCAAATTCAAAAATTTTGAAGGGTTCTGAAAGCTAGAAAATCTTAATTTGAGTATGAATTATACTACAAATAATAATGTTTAATTGAGTGACTAAACTGTTACTAAACATACCAATTTTATTTCTTGTTGTATAGGATCGATATGCATGGGATATTGCTGACGTTTGACACTTAACACACTACCAAGTCCTGGAGGAGTAAGTTGAATGCCATCAGATAAAGTAGCCTCGTTGTTATGAAAATCATGCAACTTCCATAAGAATTTGCTTTCAACCAGCTGAAGAGGGGATATGAAGGAAGAGGCACAAATTTGAGTTAGACTCAATTCAAAACTCAAGAAAAAGGAAAGAATACAATGAAAAGGATCTTCATGTTAATGATAAGATGAGTATTAACAACATACTCTCTAACCTACTACTTTTAATAAATTATTTATCATTGGTTAAAATTTATTGAAAAAGGCAAATTATGGGTGAGACTCAGTAAATATGAAATCATACCCACAAAATTTGATGATTTTTAATAAATTTCAGTCAGTAGTGGAAAATGTGTAAAACAAAAATGGTAGGAAGTGTTACTAACATTTCTGTAGTGATAAAAGCATATAAAATATCATCTTTAACCTAAATTTCAGTAAAACTAAAAACTAAATAATGACACAGAAGAATGTAGTATGTCATGTCCTCTGATTACCTGTCCGTGTATAGTTGCTCGATACGGCACAGTCAAAGCATTTTCCACCAACAAATTGTCATGTGCATGTTGTAAGGTCGGTATAAGTCCCTCACCCAGTAGCTCTGAATCAAGTATCTCGCTTACCTATAACAACTATCTCAATTAAACTTTCTTTGAAGGAGGAATGACACTAAAGGATCTAGCTTGTGCTTGAAGGATCTCGCTCCTCTAAGAAAACCAAAGGTTGATCATTTGCGCACACACACTCATTGTAAATCGTAATCAACCAATTATTTTGTAATTAACCACTTAGATTCCATACTGTATCCTTACTCACTCTGGAAGTGTGAATCCATGCTTAAAAGACCCAACATGTTTTGAAAACCCAGCAATCAAATTTAACTTTCGAGTGATTATGAATCTATTGTGATACAAAGTTAGAAGGGCCTTGTACTGCAAAATTAAATTAAAATAAATTTAAAAAAAAAAAAAAAAAAAAAAAAAAACTAAACATTTTGTAAAAAAGTTTTCAAAAGCCCTTGCTTGTATCCAAACGATGTCCTAATTATTCATTTGGCTATTTAACAATTAAAACATGTTACGTGATGACAGAGGAATTGCAATGCAAGGACACACTTCCACAAGTTCATCAGGACGAGAATTTTGAAATGACACTTACAAGAACATGCGCACGTGAAGGGATATCAAGACCAACTTGGAGTTCATCAGAGCGTTTGTTAATGATTTTGACTCTTTTCTCCATGCCATTAAGGCGTAACACCTTCTTCATCAGCTTCACCATGGGAAGGTAAGACTCGCACGCTGTGACCCTCCCTTCGTCACCCATGGCGCGTGCAGCCATCATTGAAAGCAACCCAGTTCCAGCACTGCACGATTGAAGTGGCAGCGCGTTACACAAAAAACTTCAGCGACTAGAATCAAATTAAGCTGCGTTTTTATTTATGAATTTAGAGTACCCGATATCCAGAACATGGCAAGGTTTGGTGATGGTTTTCTCAATGGCTTGGCGAAATGCGGCGTTTCTGGCAGAGTCATTGAGCATGTCCAAATACGATGTCGTAGCAAGGAAGGGCTGGCGAAAATTTTGGGCGAAGTTTCCGTCGTCGTCGTCATCTTCTTCGATGACGAACCATTCAGAGTTACCAGTTAATGGATGAAGCTTAAGCTGGAACACGCGCTGGCAGGACATGTTTTCTTAGTTTAAAATGTGTTCGACTTCGGGAGAGAAAATCGAGTAGCGATTAGGGTTTTAGGAAACAAAGAAATCATGGAACTGGGAGGCACTTTTTAAGTGGCATGGTTGATGTGAAAGAAAGGATTTTTCCGGAGATATGCGTTCAGATTCTCTCTATTTTGCAAAGAAATGGACATCTCCATTCCATCAAAGCTGAAAATGCAGCCTACAAAACATTAAAGAAAAAATGAATTGAGATCCAAAATTTTCCATGCATCTAATAGAAAATTTTAAAATAATATTTGATATGATTATTGATAAAATAAGCGAAATAGAATAAATAAATAATAATATAAAAATTTAAAGATGGTTATCAGACAGAAGTTTCATAAAGGAAGTTGTCCAAATATTATGACTCAAAATTTAAGGAACGTTTTCGTTTTCATATTAAAATAATTTTGAAAAAATATTATAAATATCAGTGGAACAACTTGTATTTATATTATTAATTTTTAAAAAATATTTTTTATTTCTACTTTTAAAATATATTTCATGTTTTTTCTCTTCTTTTTATATATACCATTTTTTTTCTTTCTCATCTTATATATTTTGATAAAAATAATATTATATGATAAAAAATATGAAAGAAACTATTATAATAAAAAAATATATAAACAAATATTCTTATATTATGTATGCACTGATGCAATAAAATATTATTATATTTGTATTAGTTGACCCTTTAAATTATAGTTTTAGGTTTTATGATTAACCTTATAGTTTCGTCAAGGAATTGGAGGATTGAATTATAAATTTTATCTAGATCTGTGTAATTAATAAAAGGAACTTGATTTCTGTTAAGTGTGAGGGGTGTGACTTCGGTGAGTCTTGAAAATGTTGTTTTTATTCTTAAGTAAACCTTTTCACAAGAATCACTTGGCCTAAGCTTATGAAAGCTAGATTTACCAAGGATGTCAAGGTCATCAAAAAGTATAAATCTTCGTGATGGAAATAATCTTCCTCCTTTCACCATAGATGACGTTAAACTCTTTACACCTTGAGCACTCAAGGTGAATCAAAATTCTTTTCCAAGTTTTTCTAGAAACTTGCATTTTCTCCTTCAAGAAGGTTCCTTGTTATGAGAATATGAGAAAGAAATATTCAAAGACACTTGAAGATAAGTCAATTCGGGATACAAGCAAAATATGCAAGTTCCACACACAAGTTTTAATTTTATTCAAATGTCTTTGGAGATTTCTTTCTCTTATTCTCCTAACAAGGAACCTTCCTTGGAGGAGAAAGTGTCAAGTTTCTCTAGAAACTTAGGAAAGAATTTTAGTTCACCTTGGGTGCTCAGTGTGTAAGGAGTTCAGCGTCATCCATGGTGGAAAGAGGAAGATTATTTCCATCAATTTGGTATTAAAGCTAGGCATGGAGGTCTTCAAGAGATAAGTGTCTTCATCTTTCCTTCTTTCTTGTCTTTGCATTTTCGGTCATGTATGATATTGCTTGAATCTTTAATTAAGTCATATGTTGTCAGTCATTAAGTCTTTTTATTAATTGATTCATTGTTTTGTTCCTTCTTGAATAAATTGTTTAGGAATTCTTGAATATGCTGAATGTGTAGCGATAGAATTCTATTAATTAGCTTTCAATTTTATAATCTTCCATGTTATCTTAGATAGTCATGTTTAGTCATTGAATGTTCATAAATCCTTATATGTTGTCCTACATGTATTAGAGAATAAAAATTAATGTTAAAAAAAAAAAATATATATATATATATATATATAGTGCGAGAAAATACATTGTGTATTTCTCATTTTAAAAAAAGCTATAAAGAATGTATAAATAGAATACAAGATAATAAACCTATACATTAATCTATCCCTGAAAATCAGAAAAATACTCTCCTTATAAATGTTGTACATAATTGTGCATAAATAACGAAATAAAACTAATTATATTATCATTAAATCCTATCATAATTGAATTATTCTAATTGATAGTGTTGATTTTCAACACTCCCCCTCAATCTGGGTGGTAGATGTCTATCATACCCAGATTAAATCTAATGTTTTCATATGTATTCCTTGGAATAATCTTTGTCAGGATATCTGTTGTTTGTCTGCATGATGGAACACGGTTAACACTTATAATACCATGATCAATTTTTTTTTAATGAAGTGTCGGTCAATTTCCACATGCTTTGTCCTATTATGGTGGATTGGATTCTTTGCTATGCTTATAGCAACTTTGTTGTCACACATTATCTTCATAGTATAATTGATAGGAATTTTGATTTCATCTAACATCCTCTTAAGCTAGATTCCTTTATAGATACCTTGAGTTATAGTTATGAATTCAACTTTTGCACTACTCCTTGCCACCACAGGTTGCTTCTTACTTCTCCAAGCCACCAAGTTTTCCCACACAAAGGAACATTAGTCTATAGTTGATTTCTTGTCAAAGGGACATCCTACCCAATCTGAGTCAGTATAGACTTCAATACCTATGTTTGAGTTCTTATTGAAGCAGAGCCCTCGACCTAGTGTACCTTTGAGATATTAGAGTATTATGTTTGTCATGTTCATATTGACCTCAGTTGGATTAGATGTATAGCAACTAGCCATGTTGACAGCAAACCCAATGTCGAGCCTGGTGTGAGTTAGGTAGATTAGCTTCTCAACTAGTCTTTAATATCTATCTTTATCAGCTAGTGGACTTTCTTCTTCACCTCTCTTTTCCGGTTCTATGGGAGTATTGGTTGCCTTACACTCAAGCATGCTAGTTTCTTGAATTAAGTTCAGTGTATATTTCATTTGTGATACATAAATACCATCTTTCGTCTGAGCAACTTCCATCCCTAGAAAGTATTTGAGTTGGTCCAGGTCCTGACATAAAATTCCTTGGCTAAAAGTCTCTTCAAATGCTTGATTTGATCATAATCGTCTTTAGTGATACCGATATCATCAACAAAAACAATGAAAGGGGTTACCTTTCCTTCTGCGGAGTGTTTGACAAACATCATGTGATCCAGATGGCGGATCTTGACCGAGTAAGTTTGGGGGGGCCCAATTATAAAAAAAATTATATAATAATAAATAAAAATAAAATATTTATTTAAAATTGTGTCATTCGTTCTTTTAAATGTTTGAACTCATCAATAATGGAATCAGAACTAAAGTTTTCAGCTATTTCTTTCTCAATATAAATGATCATATTATCTGCAAGAATTTCATCTTCCGATCTATTTCGCGAGTCTTGTTTTGATAATATTCATTGCGAGAAAATGATCTCTCGATTGTAGTCTGTAAAAACAGGAAGAGTTAAAATAAGACGAATTAAACGATCTATTAAGTAAAATGTACCTGACTTACCTGTTTTTGTCAAAGATTTACATAATTCAAGCATGGTAGACAAATTCTTCAAATCTGGATGGTTAGGAGCATCAAGTATAAAATGATGAAGTTGAAATTTTAAATTAATCTTCTCTTGTTCACTAAAATCCAAAGGATAAAATTTGTTCACAAGTGTGCATATATGATCAATGTTAAAATTTTTATAAACATCATTTGGAATTAAAGCATTGCTTAAAGTTAAAAGTTCCATTATTTTCTCACTAAATCTATCATTTAATTCTTGTAATTGTTTATCCACTGTAATAAAAAATATGTTCACCCTAAAATGATGTTCTACTATAATACAATCTTTTTGATGTCGAGAATGACCATGACGTGCTACATAGGTAGAATTAAAATTAGGAATATTAATTTCATGTTGTTCACAAAATAATATTACATATTTCAACAAATCTTGCCAATGCCAACCCTCTTCTCTTAATTTTTGAATCAAAATTTTAGTCGAATAGACTAACTGCATAGCATTATGTATATCCTGAGATTGTTTCTGTAAAGCTTGACAAAGACAATCAGTAATTCTCATAATTTCTTTCAACATGTGTAAAATCAATACAAACTCAAACTCAGACAAAATATTATAAGCAGCATCAACATCACCCCTTTGAGAATAAGTTGAACCATCAATTATAATTTTTTGGAGAACTAAACAAGATGCACTATACAATTTCATCATACTACAAATGGAATGAAAATGTGAACTCCAACGAGTATCACCAACTCGTTTTAAAGTGTCAATTTGATTTTTTTCCTTTACCAATTTCAAGTTCACCAAGTTCTAACAATTTTGCTATTTCATCTAATTCTGCACTTTGTAATTCATCATGACGTTTACTAGATGAACAAACAACATTTATAATAAAAGCCAAATTTGAAAAAAATTGATGAACTGGAATAACTTGTAATCTATGAGAAAAACAATGTACATAATAAGCATAAGGATTATCATGAAGAAATAATGCTTGTAATCCATTTCATTCTCCTCTCATATTACTAGCACCATCATATCCTTGCCCATGAATATTGGAAACATCAAGATTATGTCTAGAGAGAACAACACATAATTCTCTTTTAAGAGTAACAGCTGTAGTATCCTTAACATGCACAATATCAAAAAAATATTCTTTAATATTACCCATTTTATCTACAAAACTCAAAACAATAGCCATTTGTTCTCTTCTAGATTCATCACGAGCTTCATCAACAATTATACAAAATTTTGAGTCAACAATTTCTTCACGAATATAATTTCTTACTTTTCTAGAAAAAATTTGCAAAATTTCCTTTTGAATATGATGAGAAGTATATTTTGAATTATAAGGAGCATTTTTTAACATAACTTGTGCTACTTTATCATTGTATGATGCTAAAAGTTTAATCATCTCAAGAAAGTTACCTCTATTACTTGAATCTGGAGTTTCATCATGGCCTCTAAATGCACAAGCTTGAAATGCTAGCCAATGAATTGTATCAATAGAAGTTTTAAGCCGTAAACGATTTTTGCAAACTTCTTCTGAATTTTGCACATTTATAATGTTGTCAATGTGCTTAGATTGATTCAATAAGTCTGTACATGCTTTTATTGCATTGTTATGT